TTACATTTTGTCATTTTTTTTTAATATTAATTTTACATTTTTTTTAAAAAAAATAGGTGTTGAATACTTTAAAACAATTTTTTTAAAAAAAATTAAACATAATTCTAAAAATCAATTTATTTTCTCCGTAGTAAAAAATATCTGATAAAATTATTATTTTAAATACTAACTACCATCAGCACATAAATTATTATGATTTCTAAAAATTTGATTAAATTATTAAGATTTATAAAAATTTGATTGATGACTAGGAACCCAAATATAATTTAGATTAAAATTTTATTATTAAAATTATTATTTTGTATGTTTCATTAAAAAAAATTAATTTATAAAAATCCATTTAATTAATAATTTTTTAATCAAAATCATTAATTAAAGGACCGAATTTTCTTAATCATATAAATGGAATAATAATTAAAAATCTGAAAATTTTGAAAAAAGTCGAAAATATTTATTTTCCAAATAAAAAATGTGGAGATGGGGAACACAAAAACTAACAAAATTCCTATTCTAATAATTAATAAATAAAATTATGCAAAATTCAAAATTTTTAATTTTTAATTTTATATAATAATATATACTATAGAAACTGTAGATAAATTCATTCCCTTTCTCCGTCCCTGCAAATCCCTCCTCCGCGGCAAGGCGGAGCCACCCATCTCCACGGCGGTGCTCGGGCTGAGTTCATTGACGCCGCCGCAGTTCTTCAAATTACAATAAACAACGAAATTGATCTGAAATTTAAGCATTCATCACTCAATCCAAAGCATTAGGACCGGCGCAGGCCTTCAGAACCGGACTCCATAGCCACTGCAACAAGAACTTCCTTCCATTTCTCCCATGTACGTTAAACGTTCCCCCGCCTTCATCTCTCATTACCTGCCCTATATACCCGCCGCCTCCGCCGGTGCCGTACAGTCCCTCGCAGAGGTCACCGATCTCCGTCGGCGCTGTTGGATCCTCGCCTGCGTACCAAGCATTCACCAAAGGATTCGAAGCGACTTCCGCCAATTCATGGCCGATAACACTAATCATTCCGTCTAACGCAACGTCTCTGTTTGGCGGCGAGAGAGCGCCTGGGCCACCGCCGGCCATGTACGCCGGCACGGCGAAGGGATAAGCGCATTGCTCCGGGCACTGTTTGCCGGAGTGGCCAACCCAAGCGTAAGGAAGCGTGTAGCCGACCATGGACGGAAAAGTGAAATAATGGAACCCGCAAACTGCTCGACAAAAGTCCTGCATTGTAACGTCTTGAGAAGTGAGCACCAGAAACATCCCGTTCCGATGGTCCACCGGAAACCGCGCCGATTGAACCGCCGTAGCGATTACGTTCTGGATCGAGAGGCGAGTGAGATCAGTGCCGTGGGAGTGGTGGAGGTCGGAGTGTTCGCCGGCAATAACGACGGAGCGGGAGACATTAGCACCAGTTTGATCGGAGTAAAGCGAGACGGTACTCCACCACTCAGCGACAGAGGGTGAAGGGGCAGCGCGACGTCGGCGATCGGTGGCGGAAATCGACAAAATGAAGTCCTTAATGAGCAATTTCTGAGAGACAGACCACTTTCCATACCAGATTAAGTAAATATTGATCGGAGACGAGGAAAGAACAGGGCCCATGTGGTATCGAAGATTGACTAAATCGGAGGAGCCCTCGAATTTCTTGGAGGAGGAGAGGGAGTTAGGGGGGAGTTTAGGGTTGAAGAAGTGGGAGTTAGTGTTGAGAGTTTGGAAGGAAGGGAGAGCGGCGGCCATGGAAGAAAGAGGAGTTGCAGAGACGGCGAGGAGGAAGAAGAAGAGGAGAGCCATTGTTAGGGTTTGAAGGAGGAGAGAGTGAAGAAGATGAAGGGAAAGGGGAAAGATTTTATAAAAGCTTTTGAGAGTTTGGATAAATGGGAGGGAAATGGGCTGGTGACAGCTAATAATACCTCTCTTTTGCTTTTCAATAGGGTTTGTGTGTCGGGGCATTTTCGTCAATTTCACATCATTTCTCGTCTCAACTTCAGACGCTCGAGCGTACATGAATGAACTGATACTTCATCTAAATATGAGCAATCCCTACAAATACGATCGTTAAAAAGGCAAAAAAAAAAAAATTAAAAATTACTGTCTATACTAACAAGGCATGTCTACTTTATCGAATTTTTCTGAGAAGCACGTGAGCAAGGACAAATCATCCTAAAATGGCTCGTATTGGTTTGTAGAGATAATTTTTACTCTTCTAGCAATCTAGGACATAGAAATGTCGAGGCCATGAGATATGAAATCCAAATTTCAAATTCTAGTCATTAAACGTTCCACTACCACCGTTATAATGATTTCCTTTATTGGGCTAACACATGTGGTGTGTTCAAAAAAGTTATTGGCCAACGTTTAGTTTGTGAAGCTTTTGAAGAGAAGAGAGTAAAACAAATGACTACTACCAGATATTGTCCACTTTAGTCCGTAACTTGTCATCACCAACCTTATAATAGGATTTCACTATCCATTTCTTTGAGGGTCGGCGTCCTCGTTGACATATCACGCGGTGTCTGGCTCTAATACCATTTGTTATAACTCAAATCTACCGTTAATAGATATTGTCCGTTTCAGCTCGTTATATATTGTCGTCAGCCTCACGATTCTAAAACACGTCTGTTAGGAAAAGGTTTTCACACCCTAATAAGGAATGCTTGGTTTCACAATAAGTCTTTAACATATTAGGTTTAATTCATAAGATAAATACGAAAAATACATAATAATTAAGATTACATCGTAATTTTAATAAATTCTACATTTTAATTCAAGTCGGTTTATTGATACAATCAAGGTGAAGTTAAAGGACCAAATTGAAAAATGGGAAAAATCTAAGGGTTAAATTCAAATTTTGGAAAGTTAAGTCCTCCAAAATAAAATAAAAAAGTTTAAAGTTGAAGGACTGTTGCATTTAAATCCTTAGAAAATAATGAATATCTGAAAAATCAATTAATTTAAGAGGGACAAAATGCAAATAATGTATGTGCTTCATTTTTTAGGTTTGGATATGGTTTAAATATCCCAATCTTTACGCGTAAAATTTAATAAATATTAAAAACCTAAGGGCTTTTTTTTTATAGGTTGCTGCAAATTATTTATTAATACATTTATTTATTTATATAATTATACTAGTGTGTATATATATATACTAGGAGTAAGATTCGGATTACCTTGTTGATCGAATATCTCAAGACAAGAACTTTGAGATTCGAATCACTCTACAAGAAAGATCGATCATATCTAGCTTGAATGATTTTTGTTGATCAAATATCCCAATGCAAGAACACTTGTTTGAGATTCGAATCACTCCACAAGCAAGATTGATCATGTCGACTATATTTTCTCAGTTTACTTACAAATACAACATACATGGCTTTATATATCTCAAAATGAAACTATTAAAGGCATTACGAGTAAGAATTAGTAACATTCATACTTAATGGTCATAATTAACCATTATGTAATAGTAACCTAAAGTAAATTAAAAGTCTTAAAATATATTAATGAAATATAATTACTCTAAATTGTAATCCACCCATTTTTATTTAATGTGGCATGAATTGAAATATCTTTTGATAATTTCAACAATATTTTATTCACATCTTTATTGAAGCGTATTGTATGATTGATGTCTCTTGATTCATATCATGTATGTATGTGTATATAGAGATTATGGATCAAAATTAATATTTTGTAAATTTTAATTATAAAATGTTAAAAAGAAGGAATTAAAGGGTTTTAGAAATAAATAGATAAATCATAATTAGCAAATTTTGCTCGATAAATTAAATAATATAATTAAAGGGGATGGGATGGGGCCCATTTTTCAAATGACATAAATGACCTTCATGAAATATGACTCATTATCATTATTTTCATTGTTTTAACACTCTTTCTCTTTAATGTTTTATTTTTACTTTTATTTTATTTTATTTTTATCCTTTTTAGAAAAATAACCACGTTAGCTGAGTTGAACGATATGTGTTGAATTGAACTAAGTTGAATCGGATTGAAACACATGAAATTGGATTGGCTTCATGTGCGTCGAGACGAGGAAATTGTTCTTCTGTTCTTCCCGAAACTTGTTGGTTGATGGATGAGAGGTAGAGAGAGAGGTTCTCGATGATGTTTGCACTTGTATAATCTCTCAAACGTTTTGTGAGAGGCAAGGACCGAGAATGCTCCACATGAATTGGGATGGCGTTAAGGTATATGGCCCATGTTAATTGGAAACCAAGATGAGATGATGAGACGTGATGTCTCATTGAGAGACTTTGAGCCTGAGTAGAGAGAAGATCGAGCCAAATGACTTGACCTAGTGTAGAGACAAGTCGGTTGTGTCGCCGACGATTTAACATGCACGTGTACACAGCATGTGTGATTGAATAGGCTTGGATTCTGCACGAGCGATGTTCGGTTGGCGAAGATAAACCTCGCCTAAGGTCCGACAAAACTACAAAGTCGAGTGACCTCATCAACAGTAGGCGAACAAGTAAATCGCCCGAAAACCAACCTCTTGTATAAGATCGTGTGGTTTCAATGATGGGTCAAACCTTATTCGTTTGACTTTTTTCCCCAACCGTTGCACTAACTTCGCTCGTATTAAATGTAACGGTATTAAAGATATTAATGAGAATCACACTACTATGATACAATAAATTTTGATAAGGTTTAAAAATCTGAAAATAATCCAACATCCACGTGGCATGAGATCAATGCATCTAATCCAAAGTGCAAAATTTCCAAACCAACAAGCTTCCAAATCTCAATCAACGAAACAAAACGTTCCTTCACCATATTTTATCATATAGACGAACGTATGTGAGATCCGACATTGGTTCGAGAGAGGAACGAAACAGTTTTAAAACCAAGAGACAGCAGACGACGACGACACATAACGGACTAAAGCGGAGAATAGTTGACCCTCACCATTCGGTCAACTCATGGTGGTTCGGGTCAAATATTTTGTATGAGCCTACAAATCTTTATAAACGCGCTAAACTCGGTAGGATCTTCATTAAACTAATCAAATACATATGGTAGGATCTTTATATATCTTACACGACACCATTAAAACATGGTTTCACAGCACAGATTACAGAACAAAAACCTTAAAGTTTCCAAAACAAAACACAATTACAAGGCATTCCAAAGTTCAAGAACAGTACAGAATGATTCTTTCTGGCTCTAAGTAACTTCATCACTTCAGCGAATATGCACAGTTCACCAAGAAACAAAATGGTAAAAATGTGTGAAAGATTCATACCTTAACAGAGAAAATCTCCAGCAGAGCCGACCAGGTCCCAGAAACTCCAAGAACAAGCCCCAACACAACAATGGAAATGTCCAAACACCATCCCTTCATATCCAATTCCTGCTTGAAAACAAGGAAATGGAACAAAGCAGGCAACACAAACGCCAAAGCACAGCACACAGCACTCCCGACCAAAGACAAGAAATCAGCAAAATTAGGAACCAAAAGTGCCACCAAACTGACAAGAAAAACCAGCAGCCATCGCAGCCAGAGGCAGTAATTTCCTCCCCAGAATCGCCTTTCAACGATCTCGTAAACAGGATTCATCATCAATGGGAGAGTGAAGAACAGGTTTATACAAAGACCCAGTTTAACAATGGTGCTAATCAATCCAGGGCCTAAGTTACTAGTGATCATGTCTTTAGTTTCTTCCCCAAAAGCAAAGTATCCAAGAACACCAAATGCTCCATATAATGAAGAAATGAACGCCATGGATAAACCCAAAACTCTCCCAAATTTCTCCTTGTCCTTTGTTTCAGATTCTAATGGCAACACCATTCCAATCCCTTCAAATGCATAAACAGCCACACCCATGCCATAAAAGAACACGGAAAACCCCCCAAATGCCTCCACGGATGGGCTCTGTTTGAAACAAATCAATACGTCTTTCACCATAACAACCACCATAGCTCCAAGATCAACAATATCAGCAAAAATACTCAATGGAGCTAAATGGGTTAATGTCTGAATCGAGTTCAAACCCAATTGGAAAGGGAAACAGCTCCAAACGTATACAACTTTGGGAGCTAATCCTAAAATCTTAGGGCTCAAATCTATAGCCGTCGGGGAATTAAATACATCAGCCATGGTATTACCAATGAAAATCAAATAACCAACACAAAACCCAGTTTGAGATAAGATGATCAGAAGATCAACAAGAATCCTCCCTGGCTCACCGCAAATTGTATAACCCAAATCCCCAAACGAGTTAATTTTAGAGAATCCGATTACCGATTCGATCTTCCGACGAGTGTAGACGAGGAGCATCATGCAGTAATAGGTCAAAAACGCGACGGAAAACAGCATGAGAAGACCCATGATCCATCCAGTGCGTTTGAATGCGTAAGGAAGCCCAAGAACGCCAGCACCAACAATCGCGATGAAAACATTGGCGAATGTTTTGGAAACGGAAGACAGAGGCTTGGAGCCGCCGATTAGGGGCGTATCTTCTCTGGCCACCGGAGATCGGAGGCGATTGGTTGAAGAACTGGCTTCTCGATCAAACCCCATTAAAAGGCCGTCGAGATGGTTGATGATTCAAAGGGTAGTAGAAACAATGGGGATTGGATTGAAATAAGAAATAATTGAGATGAAGTTGGATAAGGGATTTGAAATGGGGGATTTAGAGATAAAGACGAAAATGGATTTTTCTTGTGGGTATTGGAAAATCAATCAATCATCATCGGCAGCGTGAAGAAGATGAACGCAAATGGATGAAAGCGCTAAAAAACGCCTCAAATTTGGGCGCTTTTAGATAGATATTTCAATGCCAACGAATGATCAATTATTGATCAACCTTCTCTTTAAAAAATATATATTTATTATTTTTATTATTATTTGCTTTGACCAAGTTGTGTTGCAGACAATTTTGATGTATAGTCAAGTCTAGTGTTTTAGAAGACGTGGGTGAGAAAAATTATTGATGTAACGGTCCAAGCCTTTTTGGGCTTTCCCTTTTGAGCTTCCCCTTAAGACTTTAAAACGCATCTGCTCGAGGAAGGTTTCCACACCCTTATAAAGATTGTTTTGTTCTCCTCCCGATCGAATATGGGACATCACAATTGAAAACAAGTTAAAAGTAAACATTGTGAAAGTCATTTGCGTTAATACATATAAGCAAGAGAGATTATAATACTTGGTCGGGAAGGTTTGATGACTACTTGATTCCGTAGTACATTTAAAAGTGATCCATGTATGACACTCATACAAACAGAAAATACAATAATAAAACCAAAGCAAATACAACAACTTGCAACAGGCTCTCGAACCCGACAACCTTAAAAGTTTTTTTTAGCTAACAAAATATTTATTATTTGAGAATTAAACAAATAAAGTAAATAATTAAAGAAACTTGCCCGATGGTCCTTTATATTTTGAATAATTATCAATTTCGCTATGAATCTTTTTAAAACTCTTAAATTTACCCTTGTCTCGATTTATTGAACAATGTTCGTGGTAAAAATATTTATTATAAAATCAATTTAAATAATTAATTTTAGAATTTATTAAAATTATAAAAATTAAAATTTGATATTTAATTCAACTAATTTATAATCTATATAAAATTGGGATGGATTTTGTTTCATTTATAAATTTATAGCTTTAAAAATTAAATTTGTTTCCAAATAAATTTTAGTCTTAGTAAGCAAGACGTGTTTAAATTCTTAATTAGATTTAGGTTGGGATACTATTTTTGGAATTTAATCAAAATATTTACATTATTTTTAAATATATAATAATAAATTTAAATAAATTTGTTTCTGAAATTTTTTCGATAAGCCAAATATTCTGAAGAATCTCGAAGTGAGACATTAATTAAAAAAAAAAAAAAAAAAAAAAAAAAAAAAAAAAAAAAAAAAAAAAAAAAAAAAAAAAAAACCAGTTTTACCATTATATAAATATCAAATCTTTAAATAAAAGGAAATATCGAAAAAGGAATTGACAAAAATTGTTGTGGGTACGACTAGCAGCCTGTAGAGATGACAACGAGGCGAAGTGGGTTGGGGTCGGGATGCACTCCTCATTCCCATCTTGGTTTCATTTCCATTTCGAATGGGAGTCTGGTTGGGAAATCTTTATGTTTCAATCTTCATTTACGTGAAAGTTCTCATTTTATTTTTTCGAAGATTATACTTTTCGTGAGTAATTTTTTTTTTAGATATATTTTTAAATAAATATTCAATTCAAATATATTTAATGGATATTTTTCACTTTACAATATAATCTTTATTATAAATATTCAATTCAAATAACGTCATAAAAAATTTGATAATATTTCATAGACAAAAAAATATAATTTAATATTCAAACATAATTTATAAAAACTCCAATTTTAATATTCCAACCTATCTTTTACAAATATTTATTTGGTGTCTTAATTTTATATATAATAGGTGAGTGAGGTGTGGTCGGGTGGAGAATTGAACAGGAACGAGAAACTAAAAAGAAAAATATAATCTATGTCTCCAGCCCTATTTAGTCGGTGATAAGAAATAATAGGCGGGTAATGATTGAGGCGATAAATAACCAGCTACCACAAAAAAAAAAAAAAAAAAAAAAAAAAAAAAAAAAAAAAAAAAAAAAAAAAGAGACTAAATTTGAGATCCTGATGCTAAGGATTTAAATAAACATTTATTGACCTAATAAACCTTTTTATATTAAAAGTGTATGGAAATTTAGGAAGCAGCATCACCAACACTATCATATAATTTTCAACTTTTTTCAATTTTTTTAAATCCCTAAGGTCCATAAATAAATAACCCGTTATTAATTTCTCATATTCCAATATATATATATATTTTTTTTGTAACTAATTCAATGAATTAAGTGCATGAATTAAATTTAACTTCTTAATACTAAATGTCTTTTTAGATAAATATTCGAAAGAATCAAGAACAGGTCGAGTTGAGACAATTTATTTAGAATTTTCATTTAAATATATATTTTGAAAAAGTATTTTTAAATTTGATAAAAATTATTTTAAAGAGGTGTTTGAAGAACAAATAATAAAAAATAATTATATATATATATATATATATATTTATAATAACCAAAATTGTTATAAAATTTGACCTAAACCCGATCATCAATTTTTTTGAACATTCCTACGAAAATCCTCAATCCTCATTGATCATCCAAAAATCAACCGGGACATGTGTAGAATCACTTCCCTAATGTAGTAAAACTACAAGAACTCTTAATTAAATCATTTTTAAGAAAATATTACAAAAAAAAAAAAAAAAAAAAAAA